GTCTGCAAGCAGGATGTACACGCGAAAGAATCACATAGTGAGTGAAGCCATCGCGCTTCTCTTCCCCATCAGGTTAGGAAGCACCCAACCTTCCTCGGAAGCACCGAGGGGCGTAGTACACCCGGTCAACATAAACACGCGAAAGAATCACGATGAGTGAAGCCATCGCGCTTCTCTTCCCCATCAGGTTAGGAAGCACCCAACCTTCCTCGGAAACACCGAGGGGCGTAGTTAAATGCTGACAAACAGTCTTGCCTGACATTCCTTCTTTCACAATAAACTAACCTTTAATAATTTTTGTAAGAGCAACGCTTTTTCTGCCACCCTTTAATCAGATGCTTTAGAGAGAATTTTCAACTCGGAACCTAACGAAGTATGGGCTCGATCTTGCCTTTGATGGAAAGTTGGATTTTGTTGGATCCAAAACATATCGAACGACTCAATAGACCAATCCTGAAAGCTGGTATTTAGCCAGTACTCTGCAAATCAGAAGTTACAAAACAGTCTAGGATATTTTGCGTGCTATAGTCGACATAAAAAGGGACAACTCACCTTTATAATAAAGATCTGGCGGAATGAGAATCGTATTCTGTGTAGTGTTAGGCTCTGACATTTGAGAAATTTGTTGCTTAACGCGTTATACTAAAGGTACTGTATGTCGACATCGATGTCACGTCTAAATTCCTACTTAATAAAGTTGTCAATTACTCTATGATGCACGCGTTTGTCCAATCAATTTACGTAATACCTGATTTACGTATTGCACGCAAGACTGGCTCTAGGATTATATAATTCTAACGGCTCGTCGGATAGTGTTGCTTTTGATTTCTCTGCTTATTAGTTAATACACCAAGACCTTTTTTCTCTGCATCGCTTTATCGTAACCATGAACTCGACTAACAAACAAAAAGAAGCTGTCACGTCGGAGGCGCCGTCTACAAAGAAGTTATCACGAATGGCCCGCAAACGCAGAAATAAAAGACTTAAGTGGGAACGTGAGTACAGACACGAACAAAATGGATCTCCCCACGTACGAGAAGACGTAGCAACTATTTCTTCGACCAACCTTGATATTGTATTCGATCCGTCGAGGGTATATTTGTTTTTATGAGTTTATGAACTTTAGATTCTAGGGTTCGGTTTTTGTGCTGATAGGAGAATTACCTAAGTTACTTGTCACGAGTTTGCTTCGGCAACAACAGAAGTGGAGATGATGGCTCAGTGCTTTGGCAAGGGTAATTAGTCCGCTCCGCAAAAATATGCAATCCTAAAATCTAAAACCTAATTAGGCTTTTACTTTACCATTTGCTTGGTTATCGCTAACATTTTTTATCGGCAATACTAGCAACGAACCCAACACGGAACCAGAGGATTATGCACGCATGATAAAGTCTATTACCTTGAAAGGGAATGGACGAGTGTTCCCATCAATTTCGAAGATTGTGTGTCATCTAAAAAAAACAAGACTCGACAAGATGTTTCCACTCGAGATTTACTTGTCGAAACCTTAATCCGAGAGGCAAAAATTAATAACGATGATTCCGATTTATCCGAGATTCCTTTAAACTTTCTCACATTAGTCGATGTAGATATAATTAGAGAGGTGGACGAAATAGATGCAGACTTACCATCCATCAGTGATAATGACAATCGCTTGTGGGTTGCTTTTGGACGATGGTTGGGTTTCAAAGAGCCAATAAAGCGAAGAGAGGTGCGACGACATCTTAAACATAAGTGGAGAAAACTTAGACATGCCCTAGACCTACGAAATAACGTAAATTTTTCAACCACGAATATCAACCGAAAAAGGAAAACGCAATTAATTATATTAGCACGTAGCGATTTTCAATCACTGGAAAGACTCGTGCAATTTCGATATATAGTGGAACCAGAGTGTGTCGTTGATAGTGGAAATAAAACCTTATTACATCTCGAAAAGTTAGATAATCCATCTGCGATCACAGAAGCTGTAAATGCTGTCAATCGCTACTATCTTCATACGCTGAATAACCCATCACATCGTAGCAACGAATTTTGGACGAACTTCATGAAGACTTTGGAGTATACACGCGAAATAATCTTCTTCCTTTCACCAGCTCAAACACCGCAAGCTCCCATAACGCCAACCATCGCGAATGCGTTAATGATCTTCTTCGCGTTCTAAAGCCGTTGTCAGATTGCATCAATGACTTTATTCAGTGTAATTATGTGGGGCTATATGAGAAACTATCAAAATTAAAGTGGGGGCCCTTTGGACCTCGACCGTTCAACATTTTTCTCATGATCGCAATCAATTTTAACACGATTAGCGATTACCACTGGGATGAGAATGACGAACCAAATTCATTATGTTGCTTGGTTGCGTTGGGTGATTTTGAAGGTGGTGAGCTGTGTTTCCCCCAGCTTCAAATTATCGTACCACTTCGTCGCTATCAATTAATATAATACAAATTACGTACCCACCCTCTATATGGATTCAATATCACGTTGATTCCTTACGGCAAAATTAATATTGTTCTACAATGGTTTCTATTACCTATTTCGTGATCTTTTGGGGTTAGGGATAAGTAGAACGCCAAATTAACGAGTATGATACATGATCTATTTCAGGTGTAGAATCTATTTCGGGATGTTATTCGTTGATATTATGATAATCGATATTAACGATTTCTTTTTCTGGAAATCGTTTAAAAAAAATAATCGATCTTTTTAAAATTTTTTTAGCGTTCCACGCAATGGCGAGATATTCGTATCTCGCCAATTTTTTTTCCGTGTTCCATTTCTTAAGTGAGCTACTGTATATAAAGATGCCTCAAGTTCGTAGCGATGAAACTCCATCAGATTGGATGAAACGGATTTGGCTATATCATAAACTTAGACTCGTCTGACTAATCACCCTGTTCCAATCATCCACCGTCTAATCCTTGTATTTCTTAGCAAATTTTAAACGCAATTTTCGATGTGTTTTTTTCGTTTAATTCTAGCAGAAAAACCATTTCTACGTAAAGTTATAGTACTATCGCTTACATTGATTTTATTATTAATTTGAATCGATACAGCATTAGAACATTCACCACTCGAAATATATCGTATAATATTACGTTCATCACGGCCTGTAAAA